GAACGATATGAAAGAAAATGCAGAATAGAACCAGTGAAGAGCAGGGGTGCCATAGGCACAATCAGAGAACACTGTATAAACATCAGAGGTCTGCGGTTGTTCAACACCCTCCCAGCGAGCATAAGAAATATTGCCGGAATAACCGTGGACATCTTCAAGAAGAAACTAGATTCTTTCCTCCAAGGAGTGCCAGATCAACCAAGCTGTGGTGTATATGTGGGCCTGCAGGCTGCTCCAAGCAACAGCCTAGTGGACCAAACTCTCACAAGTCAAGCCTGGCCTCGGGCCGGGCTTGGGGAGTAGAGGAACTCCCAGAACCCCATCAACCAGGCATCAACCAGGTTGACCTGGGGGTTCAGCTTTAGCAGTTCTTGGATGGTGTCCCTGGACCTCAAAAACAGGTATTGGCATATCCCGATTAATCCAGGGTTCAGGGACTAGCTCGGTTTTGTTGTGGGGCAGAAAAGTTTTTGCTTCCGTTGTCTCCCTTTCAGGTTGAACCTGGCACCTCGCGTGTTCACACGCCTTACCAGGGTCATGGTGGCCCTTCTGCGTCTTTTAGGTGATTGGGTGTTGGTTTACCTCAACGACTGGCTGATCTGGGATCCCAGTCAGTCCGTGTGTCTGCTCGCCAGGGGTTTGGTGCTTTTCCAGCATGCCGGGTTTGGGTTCCTGGTGAACTGGCGGAAGTCCCATCTGGTCCCCTCCCAGGTTCGGTCCTAGCTGGGTCTTGTGTGGGACTCTCAGACCGTTTCCTTGTCTCTCCCTCCGGAGTCTCTCCTTCGGCTACAGTCCTGCATGTGCTTGTTTCTAGGGAGCTCCTGGGTCACCCGGCGTTTGCTTGAGGTTTTTTGTGGGAGCCTGAACTTTTTGATGATGGTCTACCCGCCAGGTCGGGCTTGGCCTTGTCGGCTGTTCTGGTTCCTTCAGGGACATCCATTCCGCCTCTCTTGCGATTGCTGAGTTTGTCCCCTGGGGGGGTCTTGCATTGGCTGTTGCGTCGCGGCTTTCTCTTCGGGTTTTTTGGGGGTTCAGTGCCTTGGCGCTTATCCAAGCCTGGTGTGTTCACTGACGCTTTGTCTCTTGGCTAAAGCTTTGTGACCAGTGCTCGCCAGGCTGGCCAGGGGCGGTGGGGTCCGTCCTTCCGTCGGATCCACAGCACAGTGCAGGAGTTCGCGGCGGTGTGGTTTTCGCTTCATAGGGTTTGGGTCGCCGGCGGATCGACAATTCGGCTCCATTCGGACTGCTCCTTGGTGGTTCATTGCCTGAACCAAGAGGGTTCGATGCGGTCCTTGGCTCTTTGGGGCTGGTCACTTCGGGTGACTCATCTGCAGAGTTCTCTGGGTTTGGCTCTCCTGGTGGTTCAAGTCCAGGGGGTGTCTAATATCCTGGCAGATGGCCTGTCCCGGTTCATTTCCCTGTCCATGCAATGGACGGTCGATGCCGACTCATTCAGTTGGTTCTGCCAGACGTTCAGGCGTCCAGAGGTGGACCTCTTCATGTCGACGTGGTCGAGGTGTCTTCTGGTATATGTGGCGCCCTTCCCTGACCGTGAGGCCATCGGGGTCAAAACCTTCCAGCAGGACTGATCAAGGTGGGGGGTTCCAGTACCACCTCTTTTCCTCGGTTCAGCTGTTGCTCCAGGTCCTTGCTTGCTTGGAGACTTTCCAAGGGAGAGTAGTCCTCTTGGCCCCTTTGCGGGCCGGCCCAGCCTTGCTTTCTGGCGCTGCTTGCTTAGTGTCTGAACCTGGAGGTTTTTCCACAGATCCGCCTCTTTCAACAGATCGGTCTGGGCCATTACGAGACTGGTTCGCTCTTCTCCTCGAGTCTTCGCATTTGGTCTTTTTGACTCGAGCCACCATCTGTATGGTACTCAGTGGCTTCTTTGGTGGTGTCCCACCTGCGGGCTTTGTCTCGGCGGCAGTATGAAGTTTCCTGGTGAGCTTTCCATTTCTTTCTGTCTCTTCGTCGTTATACTTCGCTTTCTGTTAGGGTTGTTTTGTCCTTTCTCTCGTGGCTGTTTTAGGACCGTCATCTTATGCTGAATACTGTCGCCTCATATCGCACAGCATTGGAGGAGCCGCTGCAGCTCACTTTAAATATTGATGTTACTTCGGCACCATTTCACAAGCTGTCTCAAGCAAGCATTGTTTCACCTCTGGCCTGCTCATGCGCCGCCTGAGCCATCCTGGTCTTTGGACAGAGTGCTCTCCTATCTATCTTTGCCTTGGTTTGTTGTGGCCCCTTTGGTTCAGGATTGTTTTTCCAAAGCTCTTTTCTTGTTGGCATTGGTTTCTGGGGGTCAGGTTGGGGAGCTTCGTGCTCTCCTCCGGCGCAGGGGTTTCTGCTCTTATAGTCGTGCTGATAGGCTTTTTCATTTGCAGCTGTCTCCTCATTTTCTGGCAAAGAATGAAACTGCTACTTTCCAGAGGGGTCCTTGGGTTATTAATGCTTGGTTGGTTTGACCATGGGTGTATCATGTTTTGTGTCCTGTTCAGCTCTTTGCCGTTAATTGCACGCCACGGTCTGAGTGGCAGGGGATGTGCTTTGGGTGGACCTGGTTTCCCTTCTTCCCTGTTCCAAGGTGCGGGTCTCCCAGGTTCTCCGCAGGATTATTCGGTCCAGCCAGCTTGCGGTCTATCCCCGTGCTCACGACATTCGTAAGTTCGCAGCTTTGGCTGTTGCTTTTGGTAATATGTCCTGGGCTGACATTTGGGCACGGGGCGTTTGGACGTCGAACAGGGTCCTGGCTGCACGGTACCTTGTTAATGTTCCTGGCCATTCTTGGAAGTGTGTAGCCTTGGGTCGCAGGTTGCAAGGGGCTCTCCACAAAAAACCAGCATTGAATGTAATGAAATGCCATTTCTGGGTGAGACTTGGAGGCTCTCCGGCATCCCCTCCCTTCCTCTGGTTGGCGTTTTTTTTCACGTTTTTTATATTCAACCTCTGAACTGGGGTTAGATAGCTGGCATGAGAGGTCTGGGACCCCCTCCTTCCGCCTCCCGGGGAGAGGGAAGTTGTACAGACAGCGGTTTGCCGGTTGTGGTGATGTCATGCTTGTTTGCTTGTTTTTGATTTGGGAGTTCTGCTTGCTAGTTCAGCTTTCGGTTTGCAATTTTTAACCAGCTGTAGTTTGTTTTGGAATTCCTACCTTTCTGGGTACCTGACCAGGTAGATGACAGGCATAGACTGCTTTCAATTATACTGGGATGTCTATAGACCATTGCTCCTTGTGCCTCTCTGGAGGGGGCCAGGTTCAGGCACTGGTCCCCAGTAGGCCTAAAACTCCATCAATTGACTGTTGTCATGGTCTAATATACACACATTACATTAATATATACATTACATTCAACACTGGTTTTCTGGCTCAAATGACTAATGCTAAGATTCACCGATAGCTTGCTTTGATATTTCCCATTTGTATGTGCAATTTCTAGGTATTTTCTTGTGCATTTTATTGATATTTTGCAAAGTAGTCCAAATTTTTATACTCAATTGTCTTATAATGAGTGGTCTATATACTAGAGCAGGGGTCTCCAAACTATGGCCCGCGGGCCACATCCGGCCCGCCACATAATTTCATCCGGCCCTCCAAACAAATCCCTGTGTGATGGCCTTGAAAAAATAATTATCGTACGAATGGCATCGCAGAATTATTCAAAGCTGGGGCTGCTGACTGGTGGCGCTCAACCCGAGTCAGTTTTCCTCTCTCTCGATAGTGTGACGCACAGATACTAATACTGGTAGGTATGTGTTGTGCATTACAACCAATCAGTTGTGTATAACTGTATATTGTGGGGATGGAGGGCGAGTGGGGCTTCGCTGCTTCCGTTTCAGGGAGCCAAACACTGTACAATATTCTTTTCTCTGTACTTTGACAATGCCTTTATCTTAGTTATACAAAATAGCAATAATACTATTGTAGCCAAAAATATTGCATGTTTAAAATAGTTAAAATGGTAACCATTAAGTTTATCAACGAAAGCGACAGTATCATTCGTCACACTAATTTGGTTGCATAAAACTAAAGGCAGGAATCTATTTAGTTTACCCTGATTTTTTCCAAAAAGATATGTTTTAATTTTTCCATGTTTATACTTTAATATTTGAGGAAATTAAATTACTGGCACTGATTTGTTTTTTGTTTTTTTTCATTTTTTATTCCTCCGGCCTGCATAAATATGGGAAATATATAATGTGGCGCTTACATTGAAAAGTTTGGAGACCCCTGTACTAGAGCATGCTAAAGACAACGGCTTCGCACAGTTGATAATGCATCCAAGATCTATATTCTTTAACAAATATTGAATGCTATTTGGTCTTTGTACCTTGCTTGAGTTGATGGCGTCAGTGATTGTTGTGATTACAGTGTTTGCTGATGCTCTAATTTTAAAATAAATGTGTTACTTATAAGATATTCTGATATATAAGATTTATTTGAATGTTTATTATTATATACAAACTTTAGTTTAATAAGTAATTGGTTTAATTAAAAAATGTACAGCTGTTATCCAACATGGCATTTGTAATTTGTAAAACTGTATGTAGATAAATTATTATTATTATTATTATTATTATTATTATTATTATTATGATAATTGGTTTGTATTTAGTGTGAAGCTAACCTTTCACTCTTGACTCTTGACAAGTGGACTGAATATTGCTGTTTATGAAATATTATATATTATATATATATATATATATATATATATAATAAGAATTTTAAAATGTCTTGTACAGATAGTGAAGGAAAGACCCAATATATGTGTAAGTGATTAAATGCCCAAATTCGGATGTTCCTTTCTCAAAGTACTGTATACAATGTTTACCTGCACATATATACAGGAAGGATGTAGGTTACATCCAAAAATTTGTTTTTTAATACACTTACCCATATATTGGGTCTTTTCTTCCCCTTCATTCAAGCACTGTGGCATTGAAGTAAGTTTCTCCACATCTTATACTTTTAATTAGAGCCTAATTCCTCCAATCATTTATAGGTAGCAAACGTAACAGCCGGATTCAGTTCAAGACCCTGCCAGGTAATCCACGTGCAGACTTCAAGTTTTCTTTCGACTTTAAAACAACTGCTGATGAGGGTATTATCTTCTATGCTTCTAGTGCAATACACCGTGACTATATCACCTTCTATCTTAAAGACGGCAAGGTAATTAATTATAATTAAATTATTTACAAATAAAATAAATTCCATGTTTGATAATGTTATGTAATCTAATAATGTGTATTGTACTTGTGAGTTATTATGTTTCTCACTCTAGTTCTAAGTTATCATGATGCAAAGGAGAAAACTAGTGTTGAATGTAACAAAACGCCAATTTCTGGGTGAGCCCTGGAGTCTCCCTGAAGCTATTATACTGATTCAGTGCCATACTACTAGGTCTTAGTTGTGGAGATCTTATAGGCCTACCAGGAATCATAAGCCAGAACCTGGTCCCCCTTACAGAGGTGCCGGGAGGGGTGGCCAATGAACACTTTATATTTAGAGTTAATAATGTCTGCCACCATCAGGGAAGGCATCCAGAAAATCAGTAAAACAAAACAGACTACTACTTGGTTAAAACCAAGACCCCAGCCTCAAAAACTGGCAAAAGAACCAAAATTTTGTAAAACTAGGGTGGTCTAGTTTGCCCTGCTTTTCCCCCTCATTGGAGGAAGGAGGAAGGGGGACCGGGTCAGCTAGTTCGCCCCACCCTTAACCCTTTAACTGCGCATCCTATAAATATGACTGTTATAGGGTCCGTAAGGTGGCACGTGACGTCATCATTCCCTGTGTGCCCGTGCCGTAAGCTCCCGGGGCCGGTGGGGCGCCCAGGGCGGGGCGTGCGAGTTGCCGCGAATATATTTTTGTTCATTTTTTGCGCACAGTTCCAAATACATTTTATTTGTTTTTACGTGCTAATCCTATGTATAATGAACATGTACACTATATTATGGCAGTAAAACATCCGTACTGTCCAAGGACACTGTGTTACATGCATGACACGTGTGTACACATGTGTTGCACATATTTACCATGTATCATGCTAATTTATGTATATATACAAACTATTTACAGACTATACACTGTCACACACTATATACATTTACCATCAACACATTTAGAACATCACGAGTGTGAGCAGCCACCCCCAAACAGGCCCTCCCTCACTCCAACATCTTACTCGCCAACATTGCTCCTCCCACCATACTGTTATTGTTTTTATTACACTATTTACACATGTTATATATACTTATCTACATGTTTTATTTACCAGAACTATGCAAGTAAGCCAGTATTGTGTCCAAACAGTACAGTGGCCACCATACACTGCATGAGAAATCACACAGCAGACAGCAGACGATGCTACGATTACGACGTCACCTCCCTCACCAAAATAGCTTCACTCAACATACTCCTGTTGCTGTTATTACACTATATACACACACACACTGTATATACCCATGTACATGTGTGTTACCCATAGCGAACCACGAAGCTAGAATGGCGAGCAAAACAAGAGTGGCTGCCACACAGTGAGGCTACCTCAATTCTCTCCCTCCCTCCCTCACCAAAATTCCTCCTTCCACAATACTATGCACAATGCAAATTATGACCACAATCCTGATCACTAATTTCTGTAAATGAATAATTGACCACAAGTTTATTTTGAAAAGGAACCTTAGAAGTCGTTTGAAGATTCCTAGATGGATGAAATAATGCTGTGGTGCTGTGGCTAGCGCTGTGAACATCGTGAACAGCATTGAATCAATGATATTTGAACATTGTACCCAGTCATTATCACACTCAGGCTCTTCTATAATACTATCATGGCTAAATAATACAGCTTATATATATATTTTGACATTATTAGGCGAAGCTGTGTTCACACGCTGAACAGCAGAGCTGTGCGCTCACGCTATGAGCGCCAGCCTTGGTTGCTCACTCACTACTGAGGCTCTCAAACCCGGCAGTGTGGACCACGATTTTTTTTAAAGATGGCGTCTGTTTACAAGAGCCCTGAGGAAGCTGATGTGAACCCCATGTATCTGCGGGAGTTTTGAATGGAACGTGAAAAATAAAAACACCCGGAGGTGCGTTGCGCACCCGAAGCCTGGGCCTACAGGCGCGTTGCGCAGTTAAAGGGTTAATTCTTATGATGATGGACCACATCAACTTCCTTGGGGAGGGAGGGTATCTGGAAGCCTCCATGGCTCGCCCAGAACTTGGCATTTCATTACATTCAACTCTGGTGTTCTGGTGGGAGCCCCTTGAGGCCCCCCTGAAGCTAACAACCCATGCCAGATAAAGCAGGGCACTTACCAGAGAGGAGGCAGCACCACAGGTATCAAAGTGAAGAAAAGACTGATGGTCGCAACAGATGACCCAAGGCCACACAAGGCCACCAATGACCAGGAACACTCACAAAATACCAAGTCGGCAAGACTCTGTTCGACCTCTAAAACTCCTTCCCCCTAATACCTGGTTGATACCTGATTGATGGGGTTCTGGGAATTCTTCTACTCCCCAAGCCCAGCCCGAGGCCAGGCTTGACTTGTGAGAGTTTGGTCCACTAGGCTGTTGCTTGGAGCGGCCCGCAGGCCCACATATCCACCACAGCCTGGTTGGTCCAGCACTCCATGGAGGAAACAATCTAGTTTCCTCTTGAAGATGTCCACGGTTGTTCTGGCAATATTTCTTAAGTTCGTTGGGAGGGTGTTGAACAACCGCGGACCTCTGATGTTTATACAATGTTCTCTGATTGTTCCTATGGCACCCCCTGCTATTCACTGGTTCTATTCTGCATTTTCTTCCATATCATTCACTCCAGGTACATTGTTATTTTATGGTGTAGATTTGGTACTGGCCCTCCAGTATCTTCCATGTGTATTATATTTGATATCTCTCTAATAATATAATAATTATTCTGTAATAATAACCCTCGCATATTCAGGTGTATTATCCAGGTCGGGGTGACCCGTCTGCATCTGCTAGGGGTTCGGGCCTTGGCCTACCTCGACGACTAGCTGGTGTGGGCTTCCAGTCGGTCCCCTTGTCTGCTTGCCAAGGGTGTGGTTCTTTCCCAGCTCGCCGGGTTTGGGTTCCTGGTGGGTTTGGTCCCATCTGGTTCTGTCCCAGGTTTGGACCTGGCTGGGTTTTGTTTAGGACTCTCGGACAGCTTCCATGTCTCTCCCTCCGGAGGTATTGCTATGGCTGCGGTCCTGCCTTCGGTTAGTTTTTTTGAAGTCCTGGGTCACTCGGCGGTTGCTCGAGCAGTTGTATTGGAGTTTGAACTTCGGTGTGCTGGTCAACCCGCTGGGTCAGGTTTGGCTTTGGTGTCTGTTCTGGTTCCTTCAGAAACGCCCCTTCCGCTTCTCTTGCGATCGCTGGGTTTGTTCTCCGAGGACCTTGCGTTGGTTGCTGCGTTGCCAGCTTCCTCTTCGGGGTTTTTGGTGTTCAGTGCCTTGGCGCCTGCCAGAGCCCCTCGCTTAATGTGTTCATGGACACGTCATCTCTCGGCTGGGGCTTTGTGACCAGTGCTCACCAGGCCAGCCAGGGGTGATGGGGTCTATTCTTTCGTCAGGCTCACAGCATGGTGTGGGAGTTCGCGGCGGTTTGGCTGTCACTTCGGAGTATTCGGGTCGCTCAGAGTTCGACCATTCGGCTTCATTCGGACTGTTCTCCTGTGGTTCATTGCTTGAACCAAGTAGGGGGGGGTTTATTTTAGTCCTTGCCTCTTTGCGGCTGGTTGCTTTGAATGGCTTCTCTACTGGCTTCACAGGGTTTGGCTCTCTGTGCAGTTCATATCCGGGGAGTGTCCAAGGTCCTGGCGGACGGCCCGTCTTAGTTCATTCCCTTGTCAGTAGAATGGACAATCGACACCAACTCCTTTCGTTGGCTCTGTCGGACGTGGACCTCTTTGCGTCTGTGTTTCCCAATCTATGTGGTTCCCAAAAGGTGTCCGCAAGTATGGTCAAGGTGGGGGTTTCCTGTACCTCTTTTTGCCGGTCCAACTGTTGCTTCGGGTTCTGGCTTGGCTTGAGTCCTACCATGGGAGAGTAGTCTTCATGGCCTCTTGGTGGCTAGCCCAGCCCTGGTTCCAGGTGAAGCTTGCACGGTGTGTAAACTTGGGATGTTTTCCGTGGCTCTGCCTCTTCCAGCAGGTTATACCAGTCCAGTACACGGCTGGTTCAGTCGTCTCCTCCACTTTTCTCGTCTGGTCTTTTTGACGCAGGTTTATCACCATTTGTATGGTGATCAGGTGGCTTAGTTGATGGTCTCCCATCTGAGATCTTCGTCTCACCGACAGTATGTAGTTTCCTGGCATTCTTTCTGCCATTTTCTCTCTCTTCATAGGTTATCTTCTATTTCTGATTGGGTTGTCTTGTCCTTTCAGGACCGTCATTTGATGCCTAATACTGTCGCTTTGTATCGTGCGGTGCTTTCGGAACCGCTCCAGCTTGTGTCGGGGTGGATGTCACTTTTGCCTCATTCCATAAGCTTTATAATGCTTTATTTCACCTCTGGCCTACTCATGCGCGATGCCTGAGCCATCCTGGTCCTTGGACAGGGTGCTCTCCTATCTTTCCTCTCCTCGGTTTGTGGTAGCCCCTACAGTTCAAGATTGTTTTTCCAAGGCTCTGTTTCTGTTGGCATTGGATTCTGGGTGTTGGGTAGGTGAGCGTAATGCTTTCCTCTGTTGCAGTAGGGGTTTCTGCTCCTTCTGGTGGTCGGTTTGTTCGGTTGCAGCCTTCTCCTTCTTTTCTGGCGAAAAATGACAGCTGCTTTCTGGAGGGGTCCTTGGGTCATTGATGCTTGGTTAGTCAGGTCAGGGGTGCATCATGTGTTGTGTCCGGTTGCGACTCTGCTGTTATATGCCCGCTTTGGCTTCGGTGGCTGGGGATGTGCTTTGGGTTGCTCCAGTTTCCCTCATTCCCTGTTCCAGGGCTTGGGTCTCACAGGTCGTCTGCTGGGTTATTAAGTTCAGCTTAACTTACTGCTGTCTATCCTTGTGCCCTTGACATTAGGAAGTTTGCTGATTTGGCTGCCATGTTTGGCAACATGTCCTGGGTTAATATTCGGGCACAGCAATTTTGGAGGTTGAACAGGGATCCTGGCCGCCCGTTATTTGGTTAGTGTTCCTGCTCCTGAGCATTCCTGTGTTGCTT